TGTGTACAGATATATATTTTATAATAATGTATGTATATAATAAGAGATCAATACATTCTATATAATATGTATATATAATATTTAACAAAAAAAGAATATTAATATTCAACATATCTTCCTTTTTTTTACATATTTATAAATAATTTATTACATGCTATATTTAACACTAACAAAATAAACTAAAATACTGTTAATTTGCATCTCTCACAATACAAAAAAAAAACGAATTGAAATTGCACCACAATTAAAAGCATTTTTAAAAATAATACACAACATATAATTTAGATAAGCCACATTAAAACAAGAAACAAAAAATATAAATATAAGATGAATTACACACAATTCAACTGTAACTATTTTTTTTATAAACAGTTAAATTTTGATTTAAAAAAAAAACCCTGGATAGTCTTTAATTCCGGTGGTGCAAATCGAGATTTCCTTATTATTTGTTATTAATCTTTGGCCAAATAGAAATATACAAGATTGTTCCACATACAAATTTAACGTATAACATTTAGACTAATTATGTTCCTTCCATTTTCGCACGTAATCATCAATCAAAATTGTTCATCCCATCCATTTTATATTGTATATTCATATAAAACTAGATATAAAAAATATCTCCGTAAAAGAATCGCAAAAACGTTCTCACAATAAATTGAACTCCGATTAATTTTACCGTTGCCGATGCTTTCCCACTTCCAGTCACCAATTTATTAACAAATTTAGTAAATCGAAACACTGGAAAATTTTGGATTTCAATAGAAAACAATTATTAAGAGAAAAAAAACTTTTAACCAGAAGCGAGTGGGCAACGGTTTTACTCTAATGTTACATTATAAATACTTGGTGTTTTACGTTTTCATCTTCATAATATATATATTTATATATAATAATCATAATATCCTGTGCTTTGACACCATCATTCCATCACCCTTTAATATTTTTATTTATCACCTTTCAAATTGAAATAATTTAATATGCAGCTAAATTATTTCGAATTGCGCAATTAAGCGGTGTACGATAAAATATTAAAACGTATTCTCGTGCCATGCCTTAATGATAATATACATATATAAAAGTGTGAAAAATTATAGGAATGAAATTATTTAATTGGTCATTTTTCGCAGTTCGCGGTACGAGTTCTCCTCTCTTCATATTTTTTTTTTTGCACTAAGCTATATAATTTAAAGACAAAAGATGAGCTCTCTGGAGGAGCATTACAATTTCAAAATTATTTTTTTTGGCACGAATAAGTACAACAAACACAAAGTAAAAATGCTTATAAATATATATATAAATAGGATTTTTCTTTTTTTTTTAAATTCGTGGCTTGTAAGTGAGGGTGACGTGAATTGTTTCTGTTTTTTTGGCAGTATCGGTTTTTGGTTTGCAACCAGAACTTGTGCTGGCAATTACGTTTGATGCACAGTTGTCGGCAGCCTCGATGGGTGGACATGAGCACAATTCGGTTTTCTTCTTGAAAGAACAAGACCTCGACGACATGTTCTTTTTCAGTTTAAAACTACCCTGTTTTGATGTCGACGATTTCCTCTCGCCGCGCCCCTTAAAACTGCATTTACAAATACAACAAATTGTAGTCAATTTCAGAGATAAGACAATTGGATAAGAACAGTACCTATTTGAACGTGATCCGTTCACCTTTCCTCGGCGACTCGTAGATCGAGACAAGTAACTTCGTTTGTCTCTGGAATTAGATCTATGAATACTTGGTCGCTTTTGAACTGATTCTGCACTCATTGACAAACCCATTCCTCCTACTGCAAAGTTAAACGATACTACAATTAACATCTAAAGATCAATTCGCGTAATATCAACATCAAAGTAATAAAACAAAACTGTTATTTTTATTAAATTTCGACAATTAAAAAAATATATTCTCACTCAACTAAGAATCATTGAAATAACTGATAAATCATAAATTACTAATATATAAAAAAAAATAACATTACCAATAGTTCCTGATGAAGAACGCCTTAACAAAGCGTTGGTAAGGACGGATACATCGGTTTCATCGAGTGGAATGTCCAATGAACCACCACAGCTGGAACATTCTACAGAAGGGGCCAAGAACCATTGCGATCTTGTCCTCATCCTTTCGGTTTGACGTTCATGTACCTTATGTAATGTAAAAATTAATAAAATAAATAATTATACGATTAGACTAAATTACCAATGGTAAATAACTAAGACTTCTTGTACTCTCTGCATAACGATTAACGTCTCGAAGTTCGTCCAGCGTCATTCGCTTACCAGCAGAATGGTTGTGACTAGTTTTCGATGATCGCGAACTACTCGAGGACCGCGACGTGTTATTACCCTGAAATCGATGTGATATTCAATGAATGTCCTGCAAATGCGTAACTAATTACCTGAAAAAATCCATTCTGTTCCAGTGAAATGGAAAGACGCGTACAGGATTCTAACAATGTATGTTCGGCAATCATTCCCAGACTATTGGAGCTCACCGCCTGATTAGTTAGGCCGGATTCAGCTAAGGCTGGTGTGGACTGACATTCGTCCACTTGGGACATCGCTATTAAAAGAAAAATGGCAATGGAAAACCAAAAAATATGAACGGAAAATGAAATATTTACAAAAAAAAGCTTTGTTTATATAATACAATCGGACATTAGTAAAATATTTTAAAAATTGATGGTGATGCATATAAACTTTCAAACTAATGAAAAACACACATCGTAACAATTAAAGCTTTAGGGGAATCGTGAATTATTAATCATGCAATATTAGTAAATGAAGCGTCCGTAATTAATTTCGTTAGTATTTTGGAATATAATCAATAATATTAAGTAAAATAAAAACTGAACGCATAAAAATATCTTTTTATTAAACAATATATTTGTATATATTTTCTA